TGACATTCTAGGGTGGTATCCCTGCGGTCGATGTCTGCTTCGATAAGACGATACTGCACGGTGTGGTGCGTGATGAACGCTAAGCCACCACCATTATCCCGCTCCCGATCTCGACGGTGCACGTTGTACCCGGCACAATTCAACAGTGTTGAATTGCTGTGCAACTTCGTCTCTTGGACCGCAGCTATCAATATGCCATGCCTTCCCATGAAGACGGTTATCTCCTCGATCTTGCTCTGAAGCCCGTTACAGTTAAATTGAAGGAGCTTCATGTGGTTCGGGAGACGTGTGGTGATGCGGGGTGTGAGGGATGTGTGTGGTCGTGCCGCAGTTGGCTGTGTGCGCTGCTGAGGTGGTTGCCGCCCTGTGGTTGTGGCGGGAGGCGTCGCAGTTGAGCAACACAGCAGCAGCGCAACACGGGCTCTCCGAAGTTCCTCGTCCAATCTCGCGTGGTGCGCGGACCTGAGCATGCCCTAAAGTGGCACCAGCCAAGGCAGGTGTTGCACTTGACTGATGTCACATTACGGAGCATCCTGGTCTGACATACCGTGCAGATTGTAGGAGGAACCAGGAGTTGTTGGCGGCGGCGTGTGGGCGGTGGTGCGGTTGTGTGTGTTCTGTGGTCTGTAGCAGTTGTGGTGTGGTCTATTGTGTTATGTTGTTGTGCTGTGGTGTTTGTGTGGGACTGCTCAGGTGGACTGGGGTTAGCCGTAGGGGCTGCTCTGTTTGAGCAGCAGGGGCCACAAAAGACGTGGTCCACTGCCGATGTGTCCGTAGTCCTGAGCAGACTCTGAGGTGACTCCACCCCTCGCAAGCATTGCACTTGACTGAGGTGGAGTTGTGGTGTAGTCGTCTCTGGCATACACAGCAGGTGTAGGTTTCTGGCCCAGGGTTTGACTCGATGCCAGCCCTGAGTAGAAGAAAACGTAGCGAATATAGGCTTATGGACGAACAACTTCTGAGATACATCGGCGACCTAAACGGGGTTAGATCGCCGAAACAACAGCCCTTGGTCGGGTAAAACCCGAGTCGTTCCGGTACGTAGAACCGGCTGTCGTGGGAATGCCTGGTGAAACGTAAGGTTCTCTGGTGTAACTCGGAACTGGATGCAAAACTGTCAGGAGGCTCTTGGAAAGAATAAAAGGCTGCTCTCTCTCACTAAAACAAAGTTATTAAACGCTCAAAGAAGGAATCATGGAGGCAACAGTGCGAGACAATAGAAACACTGCCAGATTCCTTCTTGTACATAAAGTTTTATCAAAGGAATCCTCCAATGAGATAGATCCAGAGACATAAATGTTATAAAGAAAATAAAAAAAAATTGGTCCATAACTATTAAATTAAATATACATAAGTTTTTGTTATTTTACATAATAGTTATTTTTAACCCAAAATAAGGTTTGCTCCCCTATAAGTGTTATTCACAATATAATCTTTTTTCCGTCGCTCGTAACTTTTATTTTCGACTTTTTTGCTTTTACGTCGCTCAGTGAGTGTTATTCGCAAGACAAAACGTTTTCCGTTGCTCATAACTTTTATTTTCTACGTTTTTATTTTTACGTTGCCTGGTAGGAGTTATTCCTAAGACAAAATTTTTTCCGTTGCCCATAATTTTTATTTACTACTTTTTTCTTTTTACGTTGCATGATAACAGTTATTCTCAATGAACATTTTTTTTCGTTGCTCGTAACTTTTATTTTCGACTTTTGTTTCTTTACGTTGCTTAGTAAGAGTTTTTTCTAAGGAAATTTTCAATCCGTTGCTCAAAATTAGACATATGAATGTAAGTGTGTTTTAAACAAGAATTCTTTAAAAAGAACATTAATAATAAATAATACCACTCAGTTCCCGACATTCGACAACTCCACTTTTTTCATTAAATTGTTTCTTTAACTTCTACTCAGTTTTGACTCTTAATATGTGTCGAACGTACTATAAATTTGTGGTTTATGCTGATAATCCATTACAACGCTAGATGGCCAAGGTGCTTAGGGGACGCGATAGGTACTACCTACATATCGATTGCTGAGTGGAAGATCGACCTATCTCGGCAACCAGTTCGAAAATGCTCTATCTCAAAAAACTTTTCAAGAACGCCTTATTTCAGAATTCGTTTCAAAAACGCCCTATCTCAGCTGCCGATTCAAAAACGCCCTATATCAGCATATTTTCAATACATTTTGAAGTGAGATAGGGCGTTTTTGAACCGAATTTTGAGATAGGGTGTTTTTCAATTAAATTCTGAAATAAGGCGTTCTTGAAAAGTTTTTTGAGATAGAGCGTTTTCGAACTGGCTGCCGAGATAGGTCGATCTTCCACTCAGCCATCGATATGTACTTGCATTATAGCAATTTAAAACCACTAATATTACATTTACATTGAGCCCAAATGCGTCATTTGGGCGAGAAGTCTGAAATGCGAAATCAAATCTCTATACTAATTCGCATTTCCAAAATGAGGCATGTCAACTCATTTAATCAAAATGAACTCAAAAAAAAAGCTCTCCAAAAGCTTTTGTTTGTTTATGACATTTTGAATTTTTCAAATCGAAACAAACTCAAAATCTTTGATATTTGTGTATAAAAATTGTTAATTTACGCATAAATTCGCAAAATTGTAGTTAATGCAAAGAATAATTGCCTCTTATGTATCCAAAACGTGTTCAAAAATATAAGGCGTGTATTGTTTGTTTACATTTATTTTGTTTTTATTTTCCGTTTTCAGTTGATGAGAAGTCAAACGAAATGCGAATCAAGCAGTGTAAACGCCTTTATATTACATTTACATTGAGCCCAAATGCGTCATTTGGGCGAGAAACCTCAAATGCGAGGCCAAACCACGCATTTCTCCATACAAATTCACATTTCCAGAATGACGCATTTCGACGCATTTACACAAAATCACGAAACAAATGCGTTCCAATTGCCGTACTATTTTATTGAACGCACTCAGAAACAAAAGTTCCACAAAAGCTTTGGTTTGTCTTTGACATTTGGAATTTTTCAAACACAAAACAAACACAACGAAATAAATAAATCTTTGAAATTTGTGTGTAAAAATTGTTAATTTATACAAGAGCTTTACACATTTTTAGTTTAATCAAAGAATAATTGCCTTTTTGTGTCCAAAAAGCGTTAACAATATAATAAATGTAGTGTTTGTTTACATACATTTTGTTTTTGTCTTCCCTTTTCATTTGATGAGAAGTCAAAGCAAATGCGGATCAAGCAGTGTAAACACCTTCAAATGACTGATTTCAAATCACGCATTTTGGTCCAATGTAAATGTAATATTAAATGACTGATTTGAAATCACGTATTTGGCTCCAATGTAAATGTAACATAACCTCCCAATTGTGTTTTCTTGATAAATTATTTGTAAAGAAACTTGATCAAGGTTTTTATCAAGTAAAAGCTCGCATCGCATTCTGTGTCATATACCTTGTTTATACCTACGCAAGAACCGCATTAACAAAAATATGATTTGACTCAACACATATTTCTTTCAATCATTTATACCTGTGTTGTTATAGCGCACTTGTTGAAACCGTATTCAAAAGTAAACAAAATTTATTATTTTTATTCGATATTTTTTAAATAATTAATTGGCGCGAGGACCGAAATGGAAGAGAACAAGAATTCAAACTTGTTATAATAATAATTCAAATTTAAAACCGCCTGTATAAAGGAAACTAGCCTTTTTCACTTCGCGTCATATGAGTGATGTGTTTATACCTGTTTTCTAACCGATGTGAGAAATAAAAAAGCGATTTGAAAACAAATTCGAGTGAATACACTTTCGAATTTCTGAGCGTGTTGAAAGTTGGTTTATGCCTTCGTTTTGAATCACAGGGAACTGGGTCAAAGCGCTTTATGTGTCGGTATAAACAAGGTAAATATTTATAAAATTAAAAACTCTACGATTTCCACATGAGGGGACCTGGTTTCCACATGAGTGGAACTGATTTCATTGGCACATATGAAAAATATAAATTTAAAAACAAAAAAGCTTTTGACTGCCGTAGCCGAGTAGGTAGAGATGTCGACTATAATCATCGTATAGTTACTATACTAAAATACGTTTTTTTTTTTAGGTTTGGGTGGTTAGTATTAAGTAAGTTAGAATTTAAGTATAAATAACAAAATTTATTTTTCTACCGTTACATACTTCACTTTTAGAGGGAGAATCAATTCCAAAGTGCCTTAATGTCAATTGCCATTATTTAAATTTTGGCCTGTATACTAATGTCATTGACATTAACTTCCTTACAGCAGAGAATTTGTGTAAATTGACATTATTGCACGGCACCGAATTTGCATTAGAAATTACTTGATTTTGTTGCCACCTACATTTTTGCAGGCTTATTTCTCTTTATATTACTAATATGTAACTAATCGGCCAAGTCTGGCATGTAACTAAATGTTGCGTGTTGTTAGGCGTTCCTGCTATTCTTTTGGAGATTTTTGGCGATCAAAATCAGCTATAGAAAATGCTGGAATCCTGCTGCTGGTTTTCGATGGAGATGGTGCTTTTTAAACTTTTAATAGCTCTCAAGAAAAGCGAAAAATTCATATATGTACATAAAATGACGCACAAGAAATTTCTTAAATCCTTTATCAAAATTTCTTAAATCAGTTTGCAGCTCTCAAGAAAAATGCTCGTATATTTATTTCTTCAAGAAAATTTACAGCGAAAGGAAAGTTCTTTTTCAAGCAACAGAAATAATAAAAAATATTTCTTGTGATTTTTCTTGAGGGCTGGATTCTTAGCTTTAAGATACAGTTCGTATTTGAAGTTATTAGCTTTAGGGGGGGGTTTGAACCCCAAAACCCACCCCTTGTGTGCGCTAATGGATATAACGATTTGAAAAAGTACGTGATTGGTCAGAATTACGAAAAAATCCAAAGTTTGACAGATCATATCTGCGATGAAAAAAAAGAAAGAAAAAAAATTCCTCGAATACGTATTAGCTTATTTCATGTGTAGAACTCATAAAAAAAATTTTAAGCACATAGAAAGTGTGACACCAAATTTGATGTCCGATACGAAAAAGAATGCCTCATATATATGTACTTCATTACTACAACACATAACCAAAAAACTTCAAAATAAAAGTTACGAACAACGAAAAAAAGTTTTCATTGAGAATAAATCTTACTAAGCAACGTGAAGAAACAAAAGTCGAAAATATAAGTTACGAGCAACGAAAAAAAAATTTCATTGATAATTGCTCTTATCATGCAACGTAAAAAGAAAAAAGTCGAAAATTAAAATTATGGGCAACGGGAAAAATTTTGTCGTAGGAATAACTCTTACCAGGCAAAGTAAAAACAAAAACGTCGAAAATAAAAATTATGAGCATCGGAAAACAGTTTGTCTTGAAAATAACTCTCACTGAGCGACGTAAAACCAAAAAAGTGGAAAATAAAAGTTATGACCAACGAAAAAATTTTAGTTTTGGGAATAACTCTTATAAAGTAACATAAACATTTTGTTTAGTGTCCTACGGCCAACGTTTTCCACCTCCAAAAGAAATCATATCAGTTATTTAGGGTCTCTGGGTAGATCTCCTTAGAAAGTAGGATGGCCCCTTCGCGAATAACAAGAACGAGATACTGAATCACCTACTTCATGTAAATTTCCCAGGCTTTACGGTGGAGCATGAACACAGGTTTCGTATAGTAAGTAGTCATAGAAGATCTGGCTCTATCTTTGACACAAGTCGGTGGGCGGATGAGTCTTTTCAACCGTACAAAGCAGCGAGGTTTGATGAGATTTTCCCAGCACTCCTACAAAGGAGTTTCGAGGACAACATTAGTCCATTTAGGGCTAGTTATTGCTGGGTATACATACCGTACGCTCGGAGGAATGTTTCCGTATTATTTATCCCCAAAGTGGGGAAACAGGCCCCTTGATTTAGCTAAATCATAAAGACCTATCAGCCTAACTTCCTTCATTCCCAAAACCATAAAGTAACTGCTCTGGACACTTGCAGTAGACGACTATGTGAGGGATACGCAGATGATCTAGCGCTGTTACACGTGCAGCTCTTCGCTCGACCCTATTAAGCTGGCATTTCAGGGTACTATTTTATATATATATAAGGAAAGTTTAAAAGTTAGGTGGGGGCTCCAGCACCCCCCTGCCCCTACCTGGCTACGCCCATGTCCATATATTTAATCAAGAAGCAGCATCCACGAGGGAGCTGCAATTTAGACTATCCATCAACTACTTCCATAAAAAGCAACTTCACCCAGACATTGTTGGGAAGATACCAGGTTTGGAATTCAAATTCTAGCGCCCTTTTGGGATTCATTAGGGAATCTTAAGAGATACGAAGTCCTTTTAGATCGAGGTGTATCTTGTTTCTGTCATACCTGTGCATTTATATACTAATGTATGCCCGGCATGTGGGCAGTCTTCTCACGACTCAAAACACCTCTTCACATACCCGCAAAACCCAACTCAACTAATGCCCCACTCTCTGGTCCCACCCCGTCGGAGCGGCATGCCTCCTGCGCCTTCTGTTGGCTCAGCTTGAACGATTGAGGGACAAACCGATCTAGGAGGGGTAAATAGGCCGTTCCAACGACTACAACTAATATATAGGGAGCATTATTACCTTTTTCGGGTAGGCAGTTTTTTTACCTACGTACTTTTTATTAACTAACGTCATCCGTCAAAGTCTTATATCTATTGAAACCGATCGGCTACGGTGTTGATGTACACAGATTTTGGCACTGTGAATTGTTGCGAGTCATCCCACATGTGCCGATTTTGCATTCATTCTTGTGAAACCTAAAATCCTCAACAGCTCGGTGTGTTTGAGATATGCAAATAGATTGGTATTATTTTGAAGCCAATCATCGTACTAATTATTTTCTTGAATTTTGAAGTCTTTTAAATCGTTTGTTGGAACATAAGGTTTTTTTTATTAAAAATCTACTTCATCACGTCTAGGGAAATTGCTTTCGAACTTTTGTAAAGCCCTGAACCTATGAATGTGTTTCCCACTATCCGAAGAGAGCAATATACATAAGTATTTGAAATAATGTACATACTTCGGTGTTAACGCGCCAACCTACACTCGACAGTTGATTCAAAGAATCAAGTGCTGGATAGATGTGTTGCGGGATGACAGAGTTTATACGTTCCCATTGCTGTACTGCCTATATATTGAAAATTTAAATTAGTTTCTGATCTACATTCATATGTATTTGATATATGTATACAGCTTTACCTGGTGCGGCAAACGGATCAGATCCGATTTATGTAATAAATAGCCGCCATTATTTGGCGTACTCCAGGGTTGCGGAGGGCAAAGCATTGGAACAAGGTTTGAATCAAATGTTAATGTCTGCTGACGAGAGGTACGCAACAATCTATTTAAATGAAGAACATTAAGCAGATGTTTTATATCAAAACTTTAATAAAGTTTAAAGACACATACCTTGCCAACACTGGATGAGGTTTTACTTCCTCTTTTACCAGGCGTCCTTGGTTTCGAAAAAGCGTATAAAAAGCGGGTAAAACATTTTGTTGTTTACTCTTTCCTTTTTGTCGCATGATGTGCGCATCTATTTTTATATCACGCATTAAAATATTATAAAGAAAACGACCAACTCCTGACTGTACATTGACAGGCCAACTAACATATTTAACATCTATACTCGGTCCACTAGCACGTTGCTCATGAACAAGTCTTTGCCACATTTGCCGAGGATTGTCGTTTGTACTCGCCTCTTCCCATAAATCACAATATGAACTGTATATTTCTCCAATTTTTTCCAATATCCCATTTTTCTTTTTCATCTCAACTTGATATCTAAAGAATTGAAAAAGTAAATATTTGAGATGCTTGGTATACCTTGGTATATGAGGCCTCGAGAGCCAGAATAGCCTAATTAAATTGAAGTACAGCTAAAATGCATTACTAGAATCGAAACGGTAAGCGCCCGAGGCATGTTCTTTTAGATTTATTTTACTATAAGTAATAGGTAGCACCCCGTAGGTGCAATGAACTTTTCAGTAACAGACCGTATTTATTATTTATACATATATCCTTCTTTAATAGTTGTATTAGTGAACACATTTTTGTTAGATATGCTCCTCTGGCTCTCATGGCCCAATATATAAACCCATTAGGGATTTATTCAGTAAATTTACAAAACGCAATGTTGCATACTTTTGCAGAAATATACGAATCTTCCACCCAAAAGACAATAAATATGTTCATAAGCACAATAGTATTATCATAATGAATAAATACTTTTAAAAATAGCTTAAAATTAGTACCACAATAATTTTCTTACCTTTGCTGTACTTTCTGGCCTAGTTCTCTATAAAGTTGTCCTACTGTTGGACTAAAAGTTTCCGATCCTTCCGCCAATTTATAAATCTCTTTTATCAATATATCAGTATATATAGATGTATCCAAGACTTTGAGGTATGTATAGTAGTTCATGAAGCCATTCGGTTTAAATCGAATTTGAGCTCGTAATGTGTTTAGGTCTCGGATAATGGCAGCATTAATTTGTGTACGCCAAAGTTCTTCAAGCTCGGTAAGTTTTTCACGCTGAAAAAAATAAATAAATAAAAATGAGACTAAGCGCTATAGTTATTTGTCAAACAAAACTTGAGTAAAAATTAACCTTCCATTGTTTTCACAATGGTTCCCAAAAGATAGCAAACCAAATTTGTTGGTATTTTCTGTATGCTTATACAACATGTGACAGAACAATTGGAAGTGATTGTCTTTTACATAGATTTAGCTAATTGTTTTATGCGCATCGCCGTAACTGTAGTTTGGGCTAGCTTTCTACCGAAATAAAAACGCTTGGGCGATCAAATTTAGCAAATGTATAAATTCTTTATTTAAACTTTAAAATTGTTTCAACAATTTAGAGCAGTAGTTAAGACGCGTGCATTGCAAAGCGTAATTCTCGAGTGTCATGACAAAATTAAAAATGATTTGCATGTAGCTTACCGTTTCGTTAGGATAAAAGGAAAACGGACTACAGTTAGGTTTATGTTCTAAAAAGTTAAATGTAGAAATAAAGGGAATATGCAAACTAGACAAATGAAAAGAGTAAAAAATACGAAATGATACTTGAACGAATGTATGATATTGTAGCGTAGGTGAATATGAATGCAGGGCTGTTGGTACTAAGCAACAGGGTGCTCCACATAATTCCCCCTCCAGACGAAAGCTACATGTAACGACTGGGGAATTTTACTCGGCGACCTACACGCGTAAATTTCGTCGATGCATTGTGGTTTTCCCCATCTGCCTGCAGCTCTTGGCTACCGCTTTATGTAGGTTTCGTCGATGCGTTGTTTTGCTCATCTGAGTGCGGCTTTTGGCTACCGCTTGTTGTAGGTTTCGTCAATGCGTTGTTGTTGTGCTCATCTGAATGCAGCTTTTGGCTACCGCTTGTTGTAGGTTTCGTCAATGCGTTGTTGTTGTGCTCATCTGAGTGTGGCTGGATTACGTTTGGTGACGCTTCGATATCGGACCTTGTTAAAAATGCTGGTTTAAGCCTATCCAGACTTATGTTGCTTGGCCGACCTCGGATGACGACTGCGAAATATTTCGAAATTTTACGTGCTACTGCGTATGGGCCGTCGTAAGGATTAGTCAGCGCGGGGCGCACTGAGTCATTCCTGATAAAAACATGTGTTGCTGACTGTAGCTTTTGAGAAACGAAAGTCGTTGGAGGCGAATGGTGTGCGGTGTCAGTCGGGCGTAGTTTATCCATTAACTTTCGAAATTCCGTTACTGTATCGCTAGTCAGTTCAGCGGGTGTGGTCGGGTGGAAAAATTCGCCAGGTTTGAAAACTACTCCAAAGCCAAGTAGGATCGAAGGGAGATAATGTATCCACTTTCTGGAGTCGTGGTAAAGAATTGCTGACTTTAGACATCGGTGCCATCGTTCGATTATGCCGTTGGATTGGGGATGATACGACGTAGTTCGCAGATGAGTCGTTCCTATCAAAGAAATAAGTTCCTGAAATATTGCAGACTCAAACTGCCGGCCACGGTCTGATGTTATGCGTTCGGGAACACCGAATCTCGATATCCAGTGCGTCGTTAATGATTTGACGACAGTTTCGGCAGTCATATCGGGAATGGGAACTGCTTCCGGCCAACGTGTAAAGCGGTCGATGATCGTTAGGCAATATCGCTGGCCTTCACATAATGGAAATTGGCCAACGATATCGATGTTAATGTGTGTAAATCTCCCTTTAGGTAGTTCGTATTTAACCAGAGGAGATTTCGTGTGGCGATGAACTTTTGATCATTGACATGCTTCGCACCTTTTCACAATTTCCGAGGTGTGCTTTTTTATGCCTTTCCAAACAAAGCGTGCAGTGACCAACTTTGTAGTGGCGCGTACTCTAGGATGGGACAAGTTGTGTATTTTAGACACGATGTGGTTGCGGAATTCTTTCGGAATATACGGGCGTATTTTCGGTGTCGATGTGTCGCAAATTACCTCGACGTTCGTTCCTTGTTGTGCGTGTGCAATTGCACGATAATCGATGATTTGATCCAGTGACTGTATTCGTGAAAGCAAATCTGCAGTGACGTTGGCTTCTCCCGATATGTGCCTTATGTCCGTGTAAACTGTCCAATGAAATCAAGTTGGCATGCACGGCGAGGGACAGTTTTTTCTAGCTTCTGCTTGAAGGCGAAAACAAGAGGGCCATGCTCCGTAAGTAGATGGCAACGTCGTCCTTCAATCATGTACCGAAAGTGTAAAACCGCTTGAAACATTGCGGTCAGCTCTCGGTCATACGTACTATACTTACTCTGGGCCGGTGTTAGCTTTTTCGAGGGGTTGGAATGCGCCGTCGACTACTTGATGCAAAGCAGCACACACGGCAAAATGCGAGGCGTCTGTGTGCAGAGACAACTCTGCGTTTGCTGAGGGATGAAAAAGCAAGGTAGCGTTTGCAAGTTCTTTTTTACAGCGCTGAAATGCTGCTTTGGCTTCGGTATTCCAAACAAGTGGTGTAAGGTCGTTTCTTTTGTTTCCCTCGATCAGTTTCTGGAGTTTAGACTGATAGTCAACGGCACGGGGAAGATATTTCCGATAAAAATTCAGCATGGCTATAAAACGTTTCAAGTTCTTGGCTACTGTTGGTTTAGGAAAACTTAACAGCGATGCAACTTTTTCCGGAAGAGGCTCGATTCCTTGTGAATCGGCGAGATGACCCAGGAACTTAATTTCCGTTTTCCCGAATACGCACTTACAAATATTTACTGTCAGATTATTTTTCTGTAATCGCTTCAACAGTAAACGTAACTGTTGCCGATGTTGCTCGATCGATGACGAAGCTACGCAAATATCATCGATATATGGGAAAACAAAGTCGAGGCCCCGCAGCACTTCGTCTGTTAGGCGCTGGAACGTCTGTGCTGCGTTGCACAGCCCCAAAGTCATAAATTGAAACTCATACAAACCAAAAGGCGTCGTTATGGCGGTCTCTTCATCTCCGAGTGGAAGCTCGGAAAGAAGTCGATTTAAGCGCCTCTTGTTCGCTATCGGCGAAATGTTCGATTATTTTCGATTTGATGTACTCAAACCGATCCTGTTGCGGCATTGATGCGATCACCCCCGATTATTGGCCAATTACTGTGGAATCGAGTGCTGCAAACACGGTTGCTGCCTTTTATTTGTCGGAGATAATCCCAGAAGCGGTGAACCAAAAATCCATAGAAGTGAACCATGCCTCGATATTATTGCTGGGCATAGTGGGGATTGGTAAGCGAGCATAAACAGCGGCAGCTTGTCTCTCGAGTGTCGGTAGCATCCCCTCGGAATAACGGGGATTCTGAAACGGTGTAGCATTCGTCGGTTCTGATGAAATTCCGCTATCGGAATTGGTGATCATATTAGCAGTTAAATTTTCTATCGCGTGATTTTATAACTGTGTTTAATAGCGTTATAACGGAGTCTCACATCCGACCTTCAAACTTTGTACGGGGTCACCAGTTTTTAGCTAATTGTTTTATGCGTATCGCCGTAGCTGTAGCTTGGGCTAGCTTTCCACCGAAATAAAAACGCTTTGGCGTTCAAATTTAGCAAATGTATAAATTCTTTATTTAAACTTCAAAATTGTTTCACCAAATTAGAGCAGTAGTTAAGACGCGTGTATAGCAAAGCGTAAGACCAATCCCGAGTGTCATGACAAAATTAAAATTGATTTGCATGTAGCTCATCGTTTCGTAAGGATAAAAGGAAAACGGACTACAGTTAGGTTTATGTTCTAAAAAGTTACAATGTAGGAATAAAGGGAATATGCAAACTAGACAAATGAAAAGAGTAAAAAATACGAAATTATACTTAAACGAATGTATGATGTTGTAGCGTAGGTGAATATGAATGCAGGGCTGTTGGTGCTAAGCAACAGGGTGCTCCACATAGATATTAGCGGTACACAACTGGCAAAGTCTTTACTAGCCAAACCAAAAGTGCTATAGTTATTTGTCTAAGTGTATGTTTACACAGGTCATTGCATTTTAGCATATAATCATAAGTCACAAAGCAGGCAATAGAAAAGCAAGTCTTAGCTTAAAAAAACAGGCAACATAACGCTAATCTAGACACTGAACTCTAAACAAACCACGTACATATTACGACGTATATGTACAAACATACATCCGCACACCATATTGACAAGTTTGTTTCTTGTTATTTAATTTTAGTTATTTTTTGTTTTTAATATACCCCATTGTCTAACAAAAACCATGTAAAACCAAGTTTCAAACTTTGTGTAATATTTAAAAAAATCAACAAACTTTCGTACAAACTTCGAGCTTTTAAATTTATTTCTTAGAAAGATTTTGAATATGTATTTGTATTTTTTGAGCTCATTCAATTATAGTATAATAAACTTCAAATTTTTAGTGTCGCATTTGCTTCCATATAATGAATAAACTCAATTTGTTTCTATAAGGATGAAACCCGTAACATCTTCGCCAAAAATATATATATACTACTTATATATTAGGTCACGTCAAAAAAATAAAATAAAAATTGCATTACTATAGCATCCTCCATGAATCTCCCCTCTCTACGATAATTCCAAGAGGCTGCGCATCGAGTGTTTATTTTTCACATAGCAATTACACGTAAGAAAATGAGTTATTCTCTTTTGAGGTCAATATACTAAGATTAATTAAAATGCTCAAAACTATGAGAATACATTGATTATATGTAATTTAAGTATTATGCATGCTCAAATTCCAAAGAAAAAATTTTGTTAATCAATCGATTTGATCCAAACAGGGCAAGCGATTAAAAAAGGATAATTTCGGAATTTATAGAATCTGAGCATGTATAATACTTACGCTGCGCTTACATAAGACAATTTGAGACAAGACAATTGAGAACATGTATTAATTGTCAAATTGTTCTGTACAGTAGGCGTCCAGACAATTATAAAGACAATACACTTTTCAGCAACCGCCGTTAGACTATGTTCAAACAGGCACCTAATTGGCAATTAAGAATCTTTTCACCAATTTAAGCCTTAGTTGTTACCCAAATTATCATACAAAAATTCAAA